TTCTTGGATTTGGTTTTAATTTCCATTGAAGGTAGGAAAACTGTAAGGTGAGAATCAAATCGTTCTCACAGACAGTGCCAAACTGATGATGCACAAAGTTAGTTATGCATAATCAAATCAATCGAGTGTGTGGTGTAAAGTAATTAATGAAACAATAAATAATAAGAGAAATGGTTGGGTATGGGTAACCTAACCACTAAAGGTGGCAATGGTGGTCAGAGAACTCTATTATTGAGAGAGTATAAGGTAGAGAGAGAGAGAGAGAACAAGAATACACTCAAAATGTAGTGTGTGAGATCTGCCCCTATGTGTAGGGGGTTTATAATTTATAAGTGTAGAGCCCTAACTAAGGCGGTGACATGAGGGTTAAGGTATTAGTTTATCGGAGAGGTTAGCTACAATTGGGGATGAACACTATCATTAAGTAATGGTTATCCCGATGATTGCTCTCCCAAGTGCATTGACTATTCCTAAACTTTTGAGCTTTGGACTGGACTGAAGCCATAAGCTATGCATGATCTGTCTTTTGATGATTTGGACTTAACCCGTGGACTGGCCCCAGGCCTGATCTGGATCTAGGATCGTCACCATCCATTGAACAACTTCGTACTAATCAAATAAAAAAGTAGTTACAAGCACACCCCTCTCCCATTCTTCTCTACTTTGATTTGTTTCTCAACGTCCTTGAAATTTTCATTCAAAGCAACCCAATTCCAATCAGTCAAATCCCACAATTCTTAAGTAAAACATCATGTCAATAGTCATTAATTGTCCCAACCACACAATCCAGACAACTCACGTGAAGACCACATGCTTACGTCATATNCACAATTCTTAAGTAAAACATCATGTCAATAGTCATTAATTGTCCCAACCACACAATCCAGACAACTCACGTGAAGACCACATGCTTACGTCNTTCCATTGAAGGTAGGAAAACTGTAAGGTGAGAATCAAATCGTTCTCACAGACAGCGCCAAACTGATGACGCACAAAGTTAGTTATGCATAATCAAATCAATCGAGTGTGTGGTGTAAAGTAATTAATTAAACAATAAATAATAAGAGAAATGATTGGGTATGGGTAACCTAACCACTAAAGGTGGCAATGGTGGTCAGAGAACTCTATTATTGAAAGAGTATAAGGTAGAGAGAGAGAGAAAAAAAAAACAAGAATACACTCAAAATGTAGTGTGTGAGATCTGCCCCTATGTGTAGGGGGTTTATAATTTATAAGTGTAGAGCCCTAACTAAGGCGGTGACATGAGGGTTAAGGTATTAGTTTATCGGAGAGGTTAGCTACAATTGGGGATGAACACTATCCTTAAGTAATGGTTATCCCGATNTTTATAAGTGTAGAGCCCTAACTAAGGCGGTGACATGAGGGTTAAGGTATTAGTTTATCGGAGAGGTTAGCTACAATTGGGGATGAACACTATCCTTAAGTAATGGTTATCCCGATAATTGCTCTCCTAAGTGCATTGACTATTCCTAAACTTTTGAGCTTTGGACTGGACTGAAGTCATAAGCTATGCCTGATCTGCCTTTTGATGATTTGAACTCAACCCGTGGACTGGCCTCAGGCCTGATCTGGATCTAGGAACGTCACCATCCATTGAACAACTTCGTACTAATCAAATAAAAAAGAAAAACTTAGTTACAAGCACACCCTTCTCCCATTCTTCTCTACTTTGATTTGTTTCTCAACGTCCTTGAAATTTTCATTCAAAGCAACCCAATTCCAATCAGTCAAATCCGAAAATTATTAAGTAAAATATCATGTCAATAGTCACTAATTGTCCCAACCACACAATCCAGACAACTCACGTGAAGACCACATGCTTACGTCATATATAATTCCATAGTAAAAGTAGATACAATAAAAGGAGAATTACACCCAGACCCCTGAGGTTTATCACTTAATCACTCGACAGGACCTAGACATTTGAAATATTACACACAGACCTCCTAAAGATTGTATGCGGGTAATACTTAGATCCTGTCGTCATATGTCTATTAATATATCTGTTAGTAAATTACACTCAGACCTTCTGAAGTTTTTAGTCATATAACACTTAGATCCTTCAAGTTTAAAATGTTATATTTATACCAAAAATATTTCAATCAAAAATAGAATATCAAATATTTTAAATTTTAAAATAAAAATTCATATTCNCTCTGAAGTTTTTAGTCATATAACACTTAGATCCTTCAAGTTTAAAATGCTATATTTATACCAAAAATATTTCAATCAAAAATAGAATATCAAATATTTTAAATTTTAAAATAAAAATTCATATTCTATTGTATTATTTATTGAAATAAAATCAAAAATAAAAATTTAATTTTTCTTAAAAAAATATAATTAGTATACAATTATATTATCTATTGGAATAAAATTAAAAAAATCAAACAATGGGTCAAACTGTAATTGACACAATATATTTTAACTTTAATTGAGATAATTTGATTGTTTAAATGATCAAATTAAATTCTAATAGTTAGTATAATTATATACTAATTATTATTTTTTAATAAAAAATTTTATTTATATTTTTAATTTTATTTCAATAAATATCATAANAATTGAGATAATTTGATTATTTAAATGGTCAAATTAAATTCTAATAGCTAGTATAATTATATACTAATTATGATTTTTTAATAAAAAATTTTATTTATATTTTTAATTTTATTTCAATAAATATCATAATAGAACATGAATTTTGATTTCTAAAATTTAAAATATTTGATATTCTATCTTTGAATGAAATATTTTTGATCTAAGTATAACATTTTGAACTTGAGGAGTTTAAGTATTACATTACTACAAACATCAGGGGGTCTAGATATTATTTACTAATGGATATACTGACAGACATTAATGATAGGGGTCTAAATGTTATGCACGTACAAACCTCAAGAGGTCTATGTGTAATATTTTAAATCTCAAGATGTTTGAATGATTTAGTGACAAACTTCAGGGAATCTGAATGTAATTCTCCCTACAATAAAAATAGATAGAGNACATCAGGGGGTCTAGATATAATTTACTAATGGATATACTGACAGACATTAATGATAGGGGTCTAAGTGTTATGCACGTACAAACCTCAAGAGGTCTATGTGTAATATTTTAAATCTCAAGATGTTTAAATGATTAAGTGACAAACTTCAGGGAATCTGAATGTAATTCTCCCTACAATAAAAATAGATAGAGAGAGAACCCATTTCAAATCAGCCAAAACCCAATTTTTTTTTTGCAATAATTTACTCTTCTAAACCAAATTAGTAAAAAACAATCTAACGCAAATTATCAATAATCCTCAGTTTCAAACCCACCCATATCAAGAATCAATCAAATTCATTCAAATTTTAAGACATATCATAAATATATATATATATATATATATATATATAGAGAGAGAGAGAGAGAGAGAGAGAGATAGAAGAATGAAAGCAATGAATAATTNTTCTTCTAAACCAAATTAGTAAAAAACAATCTAACGCGAATTATCAATAATCCTCAATTTCAAACCCACCCATATCAAGAATCAATCAAATTCATTCAAATTTTAAGACATATCATATATATATATATATATATATATATATATATAGAGAGAGAGAGAGAGAGAGAGAGAGAGATAAGAATGAAAGCAATGAATAATTTACCTTCAGATCTTGTTGCCTTGGCCAACCTAGTACTAAGAAAGATGGCAACAACATTAGGTCCCTTGTCAAGGATTAGAGAGGCAAATTGGACCTATGCAAACCCACCAGGAGACGGTCTGTCTTACAGGACTGACATGTCCTTCTTACTAGCCATTCCGGCTTTCTTGCTTATCACTATCTCTATCATTTTCTTCCTTCTCTCTCTGCTTCTTTTGGGTCTGATCGGTTACTACATGTGATGATGCNAGACTGACATGTCCTTCTTACTAGCCATTCCGGCTTTCTTGCTTATCACTATCTCTGTCATCTTCTTCCTTCTCTCTCTGCTTCTTTTGGGTCTGATCGGTTACTACATGTGATGATGCATAAAAGTGAATTTATGCATAATCAAATCAATTGAGTGGGGTGTTAAGCAATTAATAGTAAGAGACGAATATTGGGTGGTTGGGTCTGGTTGACCTAAACACTGAATGTGACAATGGTGGTCGGAGAACTCTATTAATGAGAGAGTACAAGGTAGTAGGGGGAGGGGGAGAGAGAGAGAGCAATAGTATACTCAATGTGAGGTGTGTGAGATATCCCCCCATGTGTAGGGAGGTTTACAATTTATAAGCACAGAACCCTAGTTGAGGTGGTGACGTGAGGGTCAAGGTACTAGTTTACTAAGAAAGATAGCTACAATTAGGGATAGACATTATCTTATAGTCATGGATATCTTTACGATTGCTCTTCCATGTGTGGACTCTTGCTAGACTCTTGAGCTTTGGATTGAACTGAATCCATGAACTGGGCTCACGCCTGGTTTGAATCTGTTCTCGTCATTTTTTCCCCATGCCCCAAGCCCTAGTAGTGACATGGGATTGAAGGCATGAGCGAGCACCTTCTTTTGGGTAGACCAAGATATCTTATTTCACACGGTGGCTTCTTTTTTTTTTTTAGCTTTCCTTCCATTGCATTTTCAAAGCTTATTTCTCCATTTGGTAGCGCCATTGTTGGAGACCCACTGTGCTAGCAAAAAAATTTCTCTGTTGGGTCTCTCAAACTCCTCTTTCTTGATTAGAACTAGGGTAGTATCATTCTCTTTCTTCTTTCCATAAGCAGTAGAGAGAGGATGAAAAGAGGCACAAACGCTTCTGCCCGAGGAGGTGGAGATGCTTTGGCGAGTGGCGTCTTGGAAAAGGAGAGAGGCTTGGGTGGCACCGAGATGAACCCAGGTGACGCCAAAGGAAGCGTGAGCCTGGCAGCGCTAGGGAGGGCGACGCTGGAGCAAGGTTGGGCGACGCCAGGGGCGATGACAAAGAGCTGGGTGACTCCAAAGGCGACACCATGGAGGACCTAGGCAAACTGATGATGTCTGCGANAAGAGGCTTGGGTGGCACCGAGATGAACCCAGGTGACGCCATAGGAAGCGCGAACCTGGCAGCGCTAGGGAGGGCGACGCTGGAGCAAGGTTGGGCGACGCCAGGGGCGATGACAAAGAGTTGGGTGACTCCAAAGGCGACACCATGGAGGACCTAGGCAAACTGATGATGTCTGCGATTTCTGAAAATTCTCTCTTTCATTTAGACTCCACAGGCGATCCCGTGGTTAATAGATCAATGATGGAGGCTCTCTATGTCACTACGATGGTGACTTCCCCTCCTCATAAAAGGGTAAGATCTGATGCCCCTAATGCTTCCCAGCTGAGGTCTGATGGCCTTACTGTTTCTCGGTAGTTGGGGTCTGATAGCGTCCCTGCTTCTTCTCAGCATGTGACCCCTTTGTGTCTCCTGTATGTTTTGGTCATACTGATATTCTTGATTTTGGATATTCGCAGATGGCTACTACTTTTTTGTGCCTTTTTTTAGGGTTTCTCAAACTCGATGAGGTGTTGAGAGCTTTTGGCGGAAGAGAGAGAGGTGCGCTAGGTTACTAAGGAAAAATTGAGGTTGGCTCCTGAGAGAGTAACACCTCTTGAGGCCGAGCTTTTGGGAGACTGAGGTTGTTTATGCAAAAGGCAAAGTGAGGCCGAGTTTATGACGACTCGTAAGAGAGACGATAAGTTGGAGAGTGAAGTTGCTTGCGTGAGAGTAGAAGCAAAGTAAGGCCAAGCTTCTAGTGACTCGCGAGAGAGCCACTAAGTTGTAGATTGAAACTGTTTGCGTGAGAGTAGAGACAGAGTAAGACCAAGCTTCTAGTGACTCGTGAGAGAGCCACTAAGCTAGAGAGGAAGGCTACTTACATGAGAGTAGAGGCAGAGTAAGGCCGAGCTTCTAGTGACTCACAAAAGATGCAATAAGCTAGAGAACAAGACTGTTTTCTTGAGAACAGAAGTAGAGTAAGACCAAGCTTCTAGTGACTTGCGAGAGAGCTGCTAAGCTGAAGGCTAAGACTGCTTGTGTGAGAGCAGAGGCAGAGTAAGGCTAAGCTTCTAGCGACTCGCGAGAGAGGCGCTAAGTTAGAGAATATGGTTACTTGCTTGAGATCAAAGGCAGAGTTAGGCCGAACTTTTGGTGAGTCGTGAAAGAGCCACTACGCTGGAGAATGTGGTTGCTTGCTTGAGAGTAGAGACAGAGTTAGACTGAGCTTTTGGTGACTCGTGAAAGAGCCACTAAGCTAGAGAATGAAGCTGCTTAAGAACAGAGATAGGATTAAGCCAAGCTTTCTAGCGACTCATGAAAGAGGAGCTAAGCTGGAGAATGATGTTGCTTGTGTGAGAGCAGATGTAGGGTTAAGCAGAGCTTTTGGCGACTCGCGAGAGAGACAATAAGCTAGAGAATGAGGCTATTTACGTGAGAGCAGGGGTAGGGGAAGGATTAGGCCGAGCATTTGGCGACTCATAAGAGAGGCGCTAAGCTTAAGAGCAGAGGCAAGATTAGGCCAAACTTTTTGGCGATTCATGAGAAAGCCACTAAGCTGGAGAATGAGACTGTTTGGGCGAAAACAGAGGCAAAGTTAGGCCGAGCTTCTGGTGACTTGCGAGAGAGCTGCTAAGCTGAAGTTTGAGGCTACTTGCCTAAGAGCCAAGACAGAGTGACGATGAGCTTTTGGCGATTCGCGTGAAAGCTGCTAAACTGGGGATTACGGCTGCTTACGTGAAAGCAGAGGCCAGAGGTAGGTCAAGCTTTTGGAGACTTGGGAGGTTCTTTCCTAGGAGACGAAGAAGAGAAGGGAGATGATACTGAGGATAGCTAGAGGGCGTCAGTTGAGCGCAGGTAGTCGAGGTCGCCTAATATGCCAGGAAGGGTGACGTCAGACACCAAGGGCACTATTGGACGAGCTGGGCCCACGATGCAAGCGGTGCGCCCAGGGTGTGCAGGTGAGCAAGGAGGCAGGCGCCAAGACAAGGATCCGCAGGCGAGCGAGGAGGCATGGGCTAAGGCAAGGGTGTACAGGCAGGCAAGGAGGCAGTTGCCAAGTAGGGGTGTGCAGGCACTGGAGCGCAGACGACAAGCGACGGGTGCAGGGGCCAGGCACTAGGCGATGAGGGAGCGGGCGCTTAGTGGTGGGCATCAGGTGCTAGGGCACTCGACGTCGGGCACTAGGTGCTTGTGCTTGGCACTGACGCTAGGTGCTGGGGACTAGCCCTAGGTGCTTGGCGCTAAATGGAGTATAAGAAAACCATGAAGAAATAATAAAAATTTGAACTGTCATAACTTTGCCCTCGATTGTCCGTTTGATACGAATTTTTTTTTGAATACAAGTATTTTTTTTTTTAAGATCTACGACAATCAAATAGCCTACAGTGGTTTAGGCACCAAATTTCCCCAAATATGATTGTTTTTCATAGAATTTGAATTTTAACCACAAATTAATGAAGATGGAGAATTTAAGCTCACCTTGCTTTGGTGACATCCTCAGCATGAGGATCTGTTGGTTCTAGTTAACCAGTAGTTGTATGGTTTTCAACAGTTGTTGGGATTCAGGGACTTGGTTTGCCAGTGATGGTGAGACCTCATCATGGTGTGGTGGGTCATCTTTCACTTGGTGGTTCATGGATCTGATTATAATTGCCATTGAAAGTAGGAAAACTGTAGGGTGAAAATCAAATCGTTCCCACAGACAACTCCAAACTAATAATGCACAAAAGTAGATTTATGCACAATCAAATCAGTCAAGTGTGATGTAAAGCAATTAATGAAGTAGTTAATAATAAGAGATGAAGATTGAGTGGTTGGGTCTAGTTAACTTAACCAGTGAAGGCGGCAATGATGGCTGAAGAACTCTATTAATAAGAGAGTACAAGCTAGTAGGGGGTGATAGAGGGAGAGGAAAAAGAAATAGTATTTCTTTTATGCTCAATGTGATGTGTGTGAGATTCCCCCCCCCCCCCATGTGTGAGGAGTTTACAATTTACAAGCATAGAGCCCTAGTTGAGGCGATGATGTGGGGGTCAAGGCACTAGTTTACTGAGAAATATAACTACAATCGGGGATATACACTATCTTGAAGTCATGACTATCCCGATGATTACTCTCCCACATACATTGACTCTTACTGGACTCTTGGGCTTTGGATTGGACTGAGGCTATTAGCTAAGTCTGTCCTACCTTTTAATGGTTTGGGTTCAACCCATGAACTAGACTTTGAATTTGGGCTCGTCAACATGTAAGAGCAAAGAGCTAGTGGTGAGGTGACAAGGAAGGTTGAAATTGTTAGAGAGAAGACAGAGAGAGAGAGAGAGAGAAGTAGGCAAGTGAGTAATTTTTTTGGGTAAATTATTTTCATAAATTTTTTTTGAAAATTTATAAGGGTGAAATTGTCATATTTAACACACATAATCAACGTATTCATAATTCATGCAATTTGATTGGCGTGTGTTGCTCAAACACCGTTGAAATTCACAATCTCTGTTAGGTTTACAATGTATTTACAAGTAAGAGGGGATTAAGTATAACTCATAAAAGTCTAGGGTGGTGATGTGCCATTGACCTTAAGTTCGAAGGGATCATGTGTAATTTACCCTAAAGAATAGTATCCTATTTGCCGATGCATCTACTTACTCACTAAAACTCATGTTCTATTGCTTTTTAGCCGAGACAACTCCATAACTACCTAATAATTCAGAGCCCTACCATATTTTGCTCAGACCGTAACCCCTATCCTTCATATGTTATCAGCATAGGGAAAGCCTTTCAGAATTTGATGTAGTACCAAAAATTGAAAAAAGTTAATGGAACTTGCAATCGAGTTAAAATTAGGGTTTAATGAGGTTAAACAAATAGAATTGATTAAATCGTAACTTGGCCCGATTGAACTCTAAATCTAATGATTGAGTGGTAATTTCACAACAGAACAGAATTAATTGCTTTATGCAATGTGGAGACCAAAAGAAAGCTAAGTTCATGAATCATGATCCTTTGGAGCTTGTTCTCTAGTGTTATTTTATTGATATGCTTATTTTTTATTCTCTTAATCCAAAAAGCATAATTTACTTAAAAACTTGCTAAAAATGCAGGAACTTGCAATGGTAGGGCCATTCCCACGTGAACACCATTCTCATGCATGAATATGAACATATGAAAGTCAGCCCCCCCCCCCCCCCCCCCC